CAGACTCAGAATTTATTTAGAAAAAAAACATAATATTATGTAAAATCCTTAGGTATAATTAGTTTATCTAAAAACCACAAAACATATTTGATGATGTGATTATAAGTCGAGCAATACCGGTGTCACTCGCCATTGGACAGGTTACGGTGGTAGATAATAAAACTGTATGAAAGATATTGATTGAAACTAATTCATTAGGTGCACCTTGTAGACCAATAATTGCTATATTATTTTTTATTTGATTATCTATGAATCGAATTCGTTGTTGACTAATAGCTGTCCATTTATTCGATTCACCAAGAAGAGCATAATAGATTGTAGGTGTTGATTGAGTTAGTTGAATAAGAGGTGAGACATACCAAAGACATATTGATGCAGCACTACATGTACAATGTGAAATATTAAGAGGATTAACATCAGAGAAAGATGATACATTAGTTGAATCATCATATGGCCATACGACTCCGGATTGAGCTTCAATCATGGAAGGATAAATTGAATAATCTCGTTTCAGAGATGATGCAAAGATTACATAAAATGTTTGATTAGTTCTAAAAAACGAAATAAAAAAATTAATTCGAAGACTAAGAAAAAAGAAATTAATTTACATTGTTGTTCGTGTTGAATAAAGTTCACCCTGTGAAATACCATCATAAAATGCCCAGTCTGATGCTAATCTATTAATCATTGTTAATGGTCGATCAGGTTTTAAAATCAATCCATCTTGACGGCAACATTTCATAATTCTTTCAACATTCGTATAATTAATTCCATCACCAGGTCCAACAGGTCCTGTTGAGAGAGTAGCAATAAGTATTTCACGTTCTGGAAGTATTTCACGAGGAGAATCCGAGTAAGGTGCACCTGGCTCATATGAATTAGACCAAAAGACATCTTTGAATGGTGCTAAACCTAATGCATCAGCAAACATACTAGATATTCCAATAGCCCATTGAGGTGCAGTTTCACTTTTAAGATGAAAAGCATAATCTGTTGATACACGTGCATGTGTAACACGTGGAATTTGTAAAGCTGTAAGAATATGACGTGGCAAAGCCATACAATATTGTATATTTATTTCTACTTTGTCAGCTGCTTCACCCATTGACATTAACCATTGATGTCCAATATGAATATCAGTAAATGTTGGTGAAAAATTATATGTTTGACGATCAAGCCAATCTTGTTCATAGAGAATAAGACCCCAATCACGTGTTTGTGTAAATAAATCTAACCAAAATGAATCATTTCCAATTGGTAATGCTTTACCATTTTGTTCATCTAGAACAAAAGAATAATTTTGTTTATATACAGTATCATATGCCCAATAACGATTATGTGCTGCTAGTGGAATATTTTGTAATCGACGATGAAGAGCTTGAAGTCCATCAGGAAATATATTTGGCATTGGTGTATATTGAGTAACACCACCTCCAATACCTTTATAATACCACCATGAATCAAGTTGAATATAATGAAATGGTAATGGAATTTGATTATGAACATTAATCATTGTTTCTTCATAATTCATTCCTTGTTCTGTATTATTATAATAATACGCACCATTATCAGTATAATAACCAAGATAATTAATAGTAAGATCATTTAAACGATTTTTATTTGTTCGATTAAATGCTTTTTGCATAGTTTTACCCCATTTTCGTATTCCTTCATTAATACCTTCTGATGAATAGAAAACAATCATTGAATGATTATAATTAGCTGGTATTGTTAATATTGAACCCATAACACCATATTCTAATCTATTATTTGTTTGACTTAATGAAGTAGCCATAAATCGTGAAAAAGGTGAAAGAACTAGAATATCATTTTCTCCTCGTTGTGTCAAATTGAAAAGAACAACTGGACCTGAATTCATTCCAGATTCAATAACTTTATTTGATGAATTCCATCTACCAGCATGTTTATCATCATCACCAGCCATTTCTCCTGAACGAAAAAAAAATAATAAGAAATATGAAAAAGTATTTTTAATAATCTATTTTACCTGCAATAGTAAAATAACCTCGTTGATCATTACTATCGATTTGTTCAATATCAAACGATGGAAATACTGTACAAACAGTATTCATAGTAAGTGGAACTGTATTAGTCATAATTTGATCACCTGTATCTAAATGAAATGTAATTGCTGAATATGAATACCATTGACGTATTCGACCCACTATTTTAGTATGTATTCCATCACGTACAAGATCATAGTTCAATTGAGTTTCATTCCAATGACCTAGATTTGAATCAATTCCTTGTGCAAAAGATATATCTATTAATGGTAGAGTATTATCATGTGATGAATACCATTTATTATCAACATATAAAGCTGTACGAGCTGAACGAAGCCATATATGATCGCCAATACTTATGTTATATCGTCCATTTTGATCAATTGATACTCGTATATCACAACAACATCCAACTATAAAGAGTAGAAACACAAGCACACGCATTTTTGTTAACTATATTGTGACTATGATGAAAGATAACTTTTCTTTATATATCGAGAGATAACAAAAAAAGATAAGTCATTATTGTATCTATAATATTTAGATATCATACAAGTCTTTATAATCATATGAAAGAATAGATTGTACTTATTGGATCACTGAAATAAATGTTTGATAACTTCTATTCAAAAAAATACTCCTAATTATTTCTGATATAAGATGAAACATCTATGTATATTTTTTTCCATCATTTTGTAATGATTTATTTCGATTATGTTAATAAATTTTATAAAAAAATAAAATTATGAATTATAATATTTTTAATGTGTTCTGTAATAACTAATTATTTCCATGACATGTTTTGGAAAATTAATTTCATCATTTAATTGTTGACCTTTTTGTAAACATTCGGTTCTTGTTAATGATAATGTATTATTAGAATCATGAGTAAGTACTTGTTTACCCCATTCAATTTTATTTTGTTCAATCATTGTATTTATTTCTTCTTTCGTTATTTCATTATGTACTTGTCCAAATTGTAATACTTTCAATGTTGTTAATATTCGATTTTCTTTCAATGCATCTCGTAATTTCATTAATCCACGTTGTGAAATACCATTGAATGTAAGATCAACCGAACGAATACATTTATTAGATCGAATCAATCGACTAATTTCTTCTGCACCTTCATCTCCAATAACATTATCTAGACCACCAAGTAAAATTGTTGCTTTCATATAACCAAGATTCAATTGTTCAAGTGATGGATGATTGATAAGAGCATCGGCTAATGCTCGTGCACCATCAAAACCAATACAATTCGATGCTAAACCAAGTCGTTTAAGATGTTTATCATGTTTTAAACCTGCTGCTATTTCACATGTACCTGCATCTCCTAATGCATTGCATGATAAATACAATGATTCTAATTGATTATCATGTTGTTCAAAATATAAACGCATATTTTGTCCACTTTTAACAGTTAAACCATTGGTATCAATATATAAATGTTTAAGTGTATGATTTGATTTCAAAGAATTAAATAATATTTCACAACCTTCATCCAATAAACCAGTATTCAATAAATCTAATGTTTGTAAATAATGATTAGTTGTTAACATTCGAGCAATATGAACTACTCCTGTAGCTAAAATTGGATTTCGCTTTAACCAAAGTGCTTTAACATTTGTATCAGTTGCTAATGCATCACATATTAATGATATACATTCACTATCGAAATTATTACCAGCGATATACCATGTATTAATATTCGAATTAGTATTAAGATGAATATAGTCAGAAATAGCTTGTGCACCTGGAAGTCCAACAATATTATTTCCTAAGAAAGAGATAAAAACGATATACAAATCCGTTTCAATACATAAACTTACCTAATAGCAATCGATTTACTACTGAACTATTTTTCATTGCATTGAGTAAAGGTTGAATACCTTTTGGACCTACAACTTGTTTACATAAATCTAATCGTCCGCCAGTCATAATTGTACCACGTGAGAATACGATAGATTGATTATCATCAGTAGGTCCAGGTTTATTTAATATTAAATGTTCTAATAATGGTTGTAATTCTTCCAAAGAACATGGAACAACTATGAAGAAGAAGAAAATACATATTCAAAATTTATAGAATTAATTAATTCAATTTAATTTACCTGGTTCTGGTTCAGGATTTGTAATATAGTTTGAAGGTGGAGCATTTAATAATTGTTCTCGTTGTTCTTTTGTATATCGAAAAGCACGATCTCGTCGTGTTCGTAATCTAACTTGTTCATCGATAAAAGTTGGTGATGCTTTTTCCAAAACATGACAAACAGTTGATATAAGTCGTTTGTAACTTTGATATGAATAACCTTTATCAGCATTTAATTGTTTTTCACTTTTATCAGTTATATTAATAATTGGTTGTATATATTTAGCAATTTCTTTTGCCATAACTAAACAATATAGATTGAAGAAGATATATATGACAAACAAAAACAATTTACTTGTGCTTTGATTATAACGACTATTACCAATTCGTGGAGCTTCTTTAGCACAATTACTAATCCATTCTTGATTTTTAATACTCATTTGTTCTTCTTGTTCATTTGCAGATTCATCTGGTTGATTTAAAACAATACGATGATCATGTTTCAATTGATCACCAAGTATTTTCACACATGCTGCTTTTAAATTTTCCATCAATATTTTTTCAGTTGGAAATTCATTTTCCATTTGACAAACAGATAAATATAAAGTTTTTAAATCTCCCCAACTACCATATTTTGGAATGATATTGAAATATAATGAAAGAATTTCATTAGGTTTCTTCAAATACAATAATATCAAATATCGAAAAAATAATGGTATAGTATTTTTGTCATCATCAATTTTCGGTTCAATATTATGAAATGTTGTTCGTTGACACCAGATAAGTAACATGATATCATCTAATAGATAATTATCGATATTATCAATGATATTTTCAATATTTAATTGATCGATTGATTTCGATAGACCAATAGGAATAGCAGATATTTTCTTTTGTTTTCGTTCTGTAGCAGGTAAATTTGATAATTGTTTTTGATGAAATAAAATTGTTGCTTCAAGTTTTTCTTCAAATGTATTTAATGACTGAAATTGAAGTGTAATATCATCATGATTTGTTACATCTTTTTTATTTGATAAATATGTTTGTTGTTCAAGTAGAAATTGTTTAATAGTTTTATTTGGCCATGTATTCGGTGTAAAATGTCCACCAGGATGTGATACAATTAAAGGATTTTCAAATGCAGCTGCTAATTTTAATGTTCGATCATTATTTATTAAAACATCATTAACTCCATAAATATGTAAAGATGATACATTTTTAATTGAATTTGGTTGCATTAGTTGTTCATGACAATCAGCTCGTGAAGCAAATCCAGATATTAATATTGCAAAATTAAATGAAACATTACCAAATGGTTGTAAACCACATAGAATTCCACCTAATGAAGCACCTTGCTAGTAATAAAAATTTACAATAGAAAATAGAGAAAAAAAATATGGTTTATAATACATACAGCAAAACCAAGTACTCCATCGAATGGACCTTCTGATTTAAATAATTTATCAATATAATGTAATGAAACATCTAAATGATGATAGGTTTTACTATCTTTCGAAGCATTCCACCATTGTCGTTGATAACCAGTTTCTGGCATATTTCCATCTCCAAAAGCAGCTAATAATTGTTCTTTAACATCACCTATTGGATCATATGATAATGGAGCATTTGCATAATAAAATGTTGCTATA